ACCAAAATCTTGTTGCTTTGATTGCTCACGGCCAGATTTAGCCAGCTTACATATTCAGATTAGCACATTTATTGAATTATAAAATGCTAAAAAAGAAAAGAAAAAATTGTACACTTCTTGTCCCAAATTTGTCTCAAGTAGAATTTGTGGTATCTAGACCTCTAGCCTCCCATATCGTAGAATAGTAAGGCTTAAGGTAGATTCCATTTATTTTTTGAGGGTGTAGCTCTCCATTCAGTGATTTAAGCCAATATGCTCCCCCTCTAAGCACTTCATGGATACGAAATGGTCCTTCCCAATTGGGAGACCATTTTCTGAATCAGGGATCTTTCTTTCCAAGTGGCAGAATTGCTTTCCAAACTAGATCTCCTACTATGAAAATATGGTTGTACCCACTGTGGCCATCCATGAATGACAGAATTCGATAGCGTGCTGCACAATCCACCAGCAAATCTGCAATAGGCATAGGATATTCATCTTTTGATGTTACCAGATTCGGATTTATGAAATCCACACTATTTACACCATAAATTGCAAAACTTTAAATTAATGCCAGGTGTAAAATATTTTTTATTAGTTGGAGGAGGTTGAGCCATGTCAAATTCGGATTCTGGGCCTCATGACAGATCAGCACTTGTGTTGACAAAAGAGGAGAGGTAAAGATAATTTTTTATGGAGTAATTATCTTCTTGAGACAAAAAGGGATAATGGGAGCTGGAAAATAGGAGAAGATTGCAATTAAAAAGGGGGTTTTATCTGATAAGAGTACAGGTGGCAAAATCTACAAGGAGATTAGACCATGTCAAAAGGTGAGTTGTCCCACTACTTCAAGAAACCACCCATGATTGAGTAACTGCAGAAAGTGGAAGTTACTGCTGGCACAAGGAGAACAAAAAGGAAATTTTGAAAGGGAGAACAAACGACCAGCCCTACTCAAACATTTGCAAATTTTCAGACTTTATTTTCTCTGCAATCTACTTCCAGATTTCGAATTTCAGCATAGATTCCAGTAGAATTAGGTTGTTTTTCATCATTTCATTTGGCAAATTAATTCATGTATTCAGTTCAACAATTTCCTTTCATGCGATGAACTTCAATCTTTCAAGTTTATGCAAGGTATTGTTCTCTTTCCATTTGCAATTAATTTAATGTTTATAATAAGTAGCATTTTATTCAATGATTACTTATGTGGTGTTTATACTTCTTTTCAACCTCAAGCATGTTAGTTTAATTACTGTTCACATTAATTTTAATGTTAATTAAGATGAAGTCTTTAATTCTACAGCATTTTAATTTCCAAATCTGCTAGTACATAACATTTTAATTTAACAATGAACATGTTTAGTTTAATTTGGGTACAGCTTTTCCTCGCAAATTTACTTTAAATTGCAGGTTATTTAGTTCAATTAGGATTTGTTAATTTTAAATCACGGTAGTGTTTAAGTCCTTGGAGTTGTCCAAGGCAGATTTCGTAACCCATTCTGCAGGAAGGTATCCTTCCCTCTTGCAAATCGTCTGACGGCACAAATTTCATTTTAATCTAACGTTCTTCTCACCATCTGCAAAGAGGTCGACCGTGAGAAAGGAGAGGGTCGTTGGGAAAATCCTCCTTTCTTACTTTCAGCAAAGTAAGTGGCACGCCCACATCCAGATTTCACACGTGCGAGGCCACTAGAGGATTTTTGGGGAAACAATCCTTTTTTAGCACGTCCGATGGGACCTCATTCTGTCTTACTTACAGTTTTCAGATCCGTTGTTCTTTTTTCCAAGAAAAGGTGCAATTATGCCACAAAAAAGAAACGTTGGGAAAGCTGCCTAGACTTTATAGATTGGGCTTGGTGAAGGTAGTCCAGCACACTGAGAAGGAGAGAATGAGCCATTCATTCCACCACCATTGTCATCAATACTTGGGGAGCACTCTTTTGTCAATCCAACCTTTAACAAGGATAGTGAATCTGGAGATGATGTTGCTCAATCTGGTGACTCCCTTATGAAAGCTGTGTCAAAACAGATTAGCATCATGAGGCGCACATAGTTGGAATCTAAGGCAAGAGCTCAACAAAGAAGCCAAGAGGTTGCTAGACAGTTGGATGAGTCTTTTCAGAATCTGGCTCAGAATTTGGCTCAAAGTGTAGCCGACATGTGGTGCTCCAATGAAGAAACTGGCACTAGCAAAATGCAAAAAGTTGGAGAGCTTTCCAAGTTGAAACAGAACGAATGCAGGAGGCATTTCAACGTGCCAAAATTGAACCTCAACCACAAGTAGCAGATCTTCAAAGGCAGAATAAGAATATTCCAGCTCCAGCACTTAGGGGGCAAGTTAATCTACCACAGCCACCTCTCCAGATTCAGCAAGCATCAGGCGAACCAGTGTAGCCAGATCCTGTTGAGGCTGCACCACATGCAGCAGAACTGGGCAATCACCAGCAGCCCAGATATCTGCCACCTCTGCGTCGACCAAATGGAGGACACCCACAACCTAATGCACCTCCACTAAGGGAGCATTTTCAGCCTTATGTGCCACCCATGCAACAGAATCTTTAAGGTCTGCCAGGGCAATACATTAATCGTGATAAGATCATCGATATGGTGTAGGAGGCTTATGGTCCAGTTTTGAGGCCTCTAGTCATACCAGCTTATAGAAAACCATATCCAAATTTTATAGACCAAGAGAATCCTTTTCCAAGGGGGTTCAAGGTTCCAAAATTCACTCTATTTTCTGGAGATGATGGATATTCTACAACTGAACATATAGGCCGCTTCACAATTCAGTGTGGCGAGGCCTCTGGTGATGATAATTTGAAGCTCAGACTTTTTCCCAACTCCTTAACTAGTACAACTCTCACCTGGTATCTAAGTCTGCCACAAAATTCACTTTATACTTGGAGGCAGATGGAAGATCTTTTCCATATCCAGTTTTACCGTAGTGAGCCAGAAGTGTCCATGGCAGATTTATCTCGTCTGGTGCAGCGACCTGGAGAAACATCTGAAGCCTTTCTTGCCAGATTTCGGAAGGCCAGAATTAAATGCAGAGTTGCCCTGCCAGAACAGGAATTTGTCAAGTTGGCACAAAATGGTCTAGACATTGAGTTAAGGAAAAAGTTTGAGGGAATTGAGTTTCGTAATTTCTTTGAGTTATCTTACAAGGTGGCTTGTTATGAAAATTTATTACGAGAGGACACACAAAGGAAATCTGCATCTCATGGGACTTATTATGGTGATGCTAACTTTGATCCGGACATGGCAGAAGTGGTGGCAGACAAGCTAGTTGTTTGCCCAGATCTAATTAAAGTGGCCCAACAGACCGACAAAATAGTAAAATGTTATGTCAGAGAGGCTGGAAAACAATACACCTTTGACATTTCAAAGACTAATGAAATCTTTAACCACCTTAAAAACAGTGGTCTAATTAAGTTACCGCCGGGGCATAAGATCCCAATGGCTGGCGAAATTGGAAATAGAGAATATTGCAAATATCATAATTCTTGGAAACATTCTACTAATGATTGTGTGATTTTTCGGAATGTTTTACAGGATAAAATCGACAAGGGGATTCTGTGTTTTCCTAAACTATGAGAGTTGATGCAGATCCATTTCCTACCATGTCTGTTGGGGTGAATGCAGCAGATCTCAGGAGCATTGCTAGAGACAGAACTCAGTCATACTCTAGGCGCAGACTTGCAGCTGATGATCTGAGGTGGGTCATTGAGGAGGCAAGGGCCCGCATAAATCAGGTCAAATCAGGCTCATTGATGAGCTAAATTTATATACATATTAATAGAGAATTTTTACTTTGATATTATTGATATTTGGATGAGTTTTATGGGATTTTGTTTGATTTTACATAGTTTTCATTCTTTGTGTAGGAAAGGATTTAATTGGAAGAAATCCTACTTTTTAGAAGTAAATTGAAGAGATCAGAGACTTGAGGATCAACTTATGCAGAATCCAGAAGTCAGGAACCAAATCTGCTATTTTACCATTGAAGAAATTGCAAAAAGAGACAGGAAACCCAACACGGGTATAGTATCGACACATGATCGGGGTGTCGACACCATGCGCTAAACGTCCAGAATCAGATTCTGTTTCCTATTGTGTCAACATGTAATCCGAAATGTCAGCACCACGCAATCAGCATCTAAAATTCAGTTTCCTATTTCTATTCCAAGTCCTGCTTCTATTTCAATTAGGGTTTCTAAAATCCTATAAATACCCATCCAAATTCAGAATGAGGGGAGCTTTGGGAGGCTGGTGGCAGCCCTTTTTTGGGGCACTCTTGGAGGTCAAGATAGAGGATCCATCGACAAGAAGATCAAAGATTTCAATTAAAGCTATTTGCGTGAGGAGTTTATATTATTGAACTTAATGCATTGGAAGCCTGATCATCTTTCAATTGATTTAGTGATTTATGCATGAACTTGAGAAAGAATTGCGTAGATTAGACCAATAATAATATAAACTGTGTGCTAGATTATGAGACCGAGAAGTAATTAGCTCACATGTGGTAGTGGAGGAAGAGAAGAGAGTTAGTAGCTCCCCCTTCTTAAACTAGAGGTTTCCATAGAATCTAATGCTTATTAGTTTGTTTAAAATTACATAGAGATATGATTAATTTAATGAACCAGTGAAGGATTAACTTGACTTGAGAAAGCTAGTTAATTAATTTAGGGAAATCTACCATCACATGCAATAACACTCAACAATTTAGTAATCCAAAATTTATATTGATTGATTATGGTGAAGTCAATGTCTTAGTATCTCATATCTTGGTTAGGTTTAATTTACTTGTTATTTTCATTTTATTATTTTTTAGTTAAACTTTCTTCCCATTTGGTTGTTCAAATAAATTTGGATTAATTATTTTGGTACTTAGTTAAACACAATTCTTGTGGGTTCGACACTCTTCTCATCATTATATTACTTGGAGTGACTAGTACACATGTTAGGGTGATTTTAGTGCATCACTCATACCAAAGGAGACAGCCCATGGGGCATAACCCAACTCAATAGAAAAATAATGAAAATAAGGGAACTGCGATATTTGGACGCGCAGAAAAGCCCAGAATGGTGAAACCATCACTCAGATCTCCAAGCAAATGGTGGAAACGTGTGGTGCATCCAAAATTTCCTAAAGGTCAGAATCCAAGGACCTTGAGGAGGTGCTTACAACGTAAAAAGGCAGCAAAAAGACACCAACAGCAGATTACAGACTCGGGAGGCATGGCAGAACAGGCTCGGCCGCTCCCAGTAAGGAGAAAATCAGTGTGGGTTCGTAAAGAAAAATGGAGCACATCTGGTCAGAATTCTCCAGAAAAGGAGAAACCACCCAAAAGTCCAATGTCACCTCGAGTTCTGGTTGTGGAATCAAATGAAGAAACTGGTTTGAAGGCGAAATTTGACATGTTAGATAAAGTGAAAAATTCATCAGATATAATCTGTTTTGGTGAGTTTTTCGTTAATCTTTCTTACTTGGTGATCACTCTTCCTTTAGTCTTTCAAGCAAGAGAGTAGTCAGAATCTGTAGTTTGTCACCAGACAGATTTGACTGAGGAAGAAGAAGTCATTGAGATCCCAGCTAAGGAAGATGGTGGTATGGATTCAGCAGATAAAATCATTTTCGAAAAACCAGAAGAGAGGATGGCCAAACATATCAGGCCATTATACATTCATGCACATCTGGATGGTATGCCGATAAATCGAGTTTTGGTTGATAATGGAGCAGCTATCAATGTTTTGCCAACTTGTATTCTGCACAAAATTGGCAAATCTTTGGGTGATTTAATGGAGACAGAAGTGACAATCAGTGACTTTACTGGTGGAGTAAATTGCTCAAGGAGAGTTCTGCCAGTAGAACTTACCGTTGGAAATAGAAATCTCATGTGTGCATTCTTTGTGGTTGACACCATTGCCACTTATAATGCATTGCTTGGGAGAGACTGGATACATTCCAGTTGGTGTGTCCCTTCAACTTTGCACCAGAAATTGATATTCTAGAATGGTGGCAGAACTGAGGTTGTGACAGCAGATGACAAGTCTTTTGTGGCAAATACCAATGCAGTGGAAGCTCGTTATTATGATGAAGATATTGGGATTATCTGTTTCTTTGGGATGGATAGCTATGACAGACATTCTGGAATTATTGCTTGCACCAGATCTGCAAGACCGCATTAAGCACCAGAAAAAAGAGGTCGTGGAAGAAATCAAGAGAAAATTAGCGACCTACCTTGCTGAAAAACGGATCTGCATAGATAGATTTGAGGTAATCTATGAAGGGGAAGAGGATAACTCAAAGGATCAAATAACACTTGAGGAATTAGATCTAGCACCAGCAAAACTTGATGATCTGAAGGCAGAAGTGCAAGATCCCCTAGAGGAGGTAAATCTGTGTACTGAGGTAGATTCGAAAATTACTTTTATTAGTGATTCTCTTGAGCCGTGTTTGTGTGATAAAATCATCAGTATCTTGCATGAATACAAGGATTGTTTTGCTTGGGATTATTCTGAAATGCCAAGTCTGGACAGAAATCTGGTGGAGCACAGATTACCCATTAAAGAAGACTTTAAACCTTTCAAACAACCGCCCAGACGAATGTCTCCAAAAGTTACTTTGAAGGTTAAAGAAGAGATAGAGCGGCTGTTGAAGGTTGGTTCCATCAAAACTTCCAGATATGTGGAATGGTTATCTAATGTGATTCCTGTAGTTAAAAAGAATGGCAAGTTGAGAATCTGTGTAGACTTCAGAAATCTGAATCTGGCAACACCAAAAGATGAATATCCTATGCCTATTGCAGATTTATTGGTGAATGGTGCAGCAAGCCACTGAATTCTGTCATTCATGGATGGCCATAGTGGATACAACCAGATTTTTATAGCAGAAGAGGACATTCCAAAGACCTCTTTCTGCTGCCCAAGAGCTATTGGTACGTATGAATGGGTGGTAATGCCATTTGGTTTAAAAAATGCAGGCGTAGCTTACCAAAGAGCCATGAATGCCATCTTTCATGATATGATTAGTCGTTTTATGGAGATTTATATTAATGATGTGGTTGTGAAATCTAATGAAGATGAAGAACATCTGGGGCATTTAAAGCTAGCCTTTTAAAGAATGAGGAAGCATGGTCTGAAGATGAATCCTTTAAAATGTGCATTTGGCATTTCTATTGGAAATTTTCTAGGATATCTGGTGCATGAGCGAGGTCTAGAAGTGGATCAGAACAAGGCAAGAGCTGTTATTGAAGTACAGCTGCCAAGAAGTGAGAAGGAGTTACAAAGATTCCTTGGACAAGTAAATTTTCTGAGACATTTTATTTCAAATCTGGCAGGAAAGACAAGAGTTTTTTCGCCACTGTTGAAGCTGAAATCAGAAGCAGATTTCAAATGGGAGAGACACCATCAAACCGCCTTTGAGGAAATAAAGCATTATTTATCAAAGCTGCCGGTCTTAGTGCCTCCTTTAAGAGGCAAACCTTTGATTTTGTACATATTTGCCGCAGATGAATATTTAGGTTGTCTGCTGGCTCAAGAAAATAGTAAAAAGCAAGAACAAGCTGTTTATTATTTGAGTCGAAGTCTGTCACAAACCGAAGTGAAATATTCTTTGGTCGAAAAATTATGTCTTGCTTTGTTTTTTGCTGCAATAAAATTGAGGCATTATTTGCTTTATTCCGAGGTTTA